ATATTTATAAACTATAATATTCAAAATAAGTATTTACATTCAGAGATCAATTGGTCAAAGTGAAAAAATAATGGCAGCATGATATAGATATATATTACACTAATACATTATACTGATATATCTGATTCTATTTTGATTACTATTTAAATTTTTAATATTAACGTTTATATACATGAGATAACGAAAATAATATCCTTATAAATACAAACATACGTTATTATCGTTTTTTTTTAATTAACTGTAGTTTTGTAATATGGAAATGTAGATTTTTTTACGCCATTTTAAAGATATGATTAAAAGTATCAAACAGTATTATTTTCAGAATAGCTGAAAAGAAATCATAAATATTTAATTGGCATATAAGGACGAGCCTGATTGAACGCATTTATTAATAACATACTCGTACAACAAGCCCGTATGAGGGTCGGCGAATTATTTATAATATTATAGAGGTCGATTGAATTGAAACGCTGCGAGACGATGTATAAAATAAAACCAGAGCTCCCGCGTTTGTCGACTTTGTCCTTAAGTGATAATTATTCCTATATCTATGGTTACACTAAGAATCAAGTCGACACATTAACGCGGGACCGCGGGATAAAGAACCAGTGTCGAGCTCTTACATATGCCTATGCATTATAATGTCGAGAATTCGTTCAGAATGGGCGAGGTAATCGCGCAAATAGCCACAAAATTTAGACGGCTTAAGAAGCTCCTTCTTTTGGAAGTTACTTAATATATATACTGTTTTGTTGTTGCTTAAAATGCATCTGTTATGAACTGATGTTCACGACTGGCTTGTACATCAAAACTGCATTACAATTACATAATATGTATTAATATTAATCATGTACTAGCTATTTGTTTAAAAATTACGCTATTACAAGTAATATTTTTATTTTCAACCGACTTTAAAAAAGGAGGTTGTCAATTCGGTGGTAATTTTGTTATGTTTACTACAGCATAACTCCGTCAATAATAAGGCGATATGGATTTAATTACATATTTAATTATTTTTATCTCAAAGGATATTCATACAGATTATTCGCATAACATTTTTATATAAATTAGTTCAGTAGTTTAAGTTTTAAAATCAAAATAATTGGTTTTGCCACGATTGAAGTTTGTTTTTTGTAATCTCTTGTACTTGATCTTAAATTACTTTTGTTATTGCGCATCTATCATCTATGAATTTCTAAGAATTTATTATTAAATACCAAATACAGATTTGTTGTTTTTCGTAGAAATATATTCTAACGTGAAAACATTTTCATGGGAACTTCGATTAGAGAGATGTCGTACTATAAATCTTATAGTATAGTATCTACCTACACAAACCACTATAAACACTAAACAAATCTAATAACATCGTGTTTGTAGCTATATTTACTATGTCTCTTTAAGTACTTTCATAAATTGTTATAATAATTGAAGTTCAACTACTTGAAAGGCAGTAATAACCTCATAATGACTGATTGATTATACAAGAAGCAAGGTAGGTTTACTGGTTAAGATTTAAGATTGGCGTCGACGCATCGATTAAAAACCCACCAAACTCACGCGCATTCCATTGCGCACTTTTTGCGGATGTCACCGAAAGACAGCGGTTGCACAGCGACAAAGGTGCCCAACCGGTTTAAGTTACCATCGCCTCTCGTTTTCATAAGTGCGTCTGCAAATTCAACACTCGTCAAATACCGCAAAATGCAATGCAACTGCTTTAACACTCTCATTATTGCAACCAATGTTTACGTTTTTATTTGTTCTTTATTAGTTTTTATTTATCAGGTCTAGACTAAAAATCCTCATTTCTGAACCCTCATAGTTTCATTCTGCTCTAAATTCTACTCGTAATTGTGCTTCTTTTCTTTCCTATTTTTAATTCAATAGAAAACTTATCAATAAAAATATTATATATTAACATTTTAAGTACATGGTCTCAATCTTATTACTAATCCTACATACGACTGGGTACGATTTAATAGGTAATGTACATATATTGAAATATTAATAAATATTAATATCACTAATGGAAAGAATTAATAATTTATCGCATAATGACCTAATTATAAGCAGATAAAATTAATAAATATGCAGATATTAGAATAGTTTTATTCAACAAGTAGCTAGACATAAAAATGATGCGCATAAACAGAATGCATTGAATCATCGTCGACATTAGATGAAACCGTATACGTTACGTAACCGGTCATTAAAGTAGATCGCAATCTGACAGATAAACAATGCCATGCCATGAAATAAAGCTAGGTACAGTTTTTCTATACTTGGCGCAATTAGTAAACAATCTTGGCATGTCTTTTTAACAAATCACAGTGGATAATATAAGACAAACAGCTAAATTAAAAAGTGTTTTGTAATAGTTGATTATATTATTTCATATAATCACTTGTCCATTTTAATTTTATATGTAAAAATAGTTATATCAAAATAGTCTCTTCAAAAAAAAGTTTAAAATCATATTATTAATTTTATTAATTACAAGATTATCATTATTGTATATATTATATATATTGAAATATATATATATATATATATATATATATATATATATATATATATATATATATATATATATATATATATATAACTTAAAATGATGGCATTATCTATCAGTCACCATTACGCTAAACAGAAAGAGTAATTGGCGATGGATTGGTCTAACAAATTCAGTAGTAATATTTGTATGGAATAATTAAAAAAATATAATAAATGTTCAATCATTCAATATTTAATGAGTAGTAATATTACATGTTTCAAATATAGAGGTAATGATTTATAAACTACGTAAATAACTATTATTGTTGTTTAAATTTATAACTTGCACTACTACTGCCCACTTTGTTTCGTTTGTCACTGTGTTAGAATGAATGAAAAAGATCTCTTTTAAAGATAAGTTTACCTTTGTTTACATTGTTTCTAATTGTTATTATTACTGTATGTTTTAGAACAATAAAGAATATTTAAATTAAATAAAAATACGTGTTAAGATTACTCAGAGCTTTATGTATTATATAAAAAAAAGTTTAGGTAAACAAGTTAGAAAGAATGACTTATTAAATTAAATATGGCAAACTGGATACATTTTTACAAGTTGATTACCTACTCATAGCTCCATGTATAAAAAAAGTTTAGGTAAACAAGTTAGAGAGAATGACTTATTAAATTAAATATGGCAAACTGGATACAATTTTACAAGTCGATCACTTATTCATAGCTCTATCTATAAAAAAAAAAAAAGTTTAGGTAAACAAGTTAGAGAACATAGCGTATTAAATTAAATATGGCAAACTGGATACAATTTTGCAAGTTATCAGTAGCCATGTTCCCAACGTACCAGGAAAGACAGGATTCGCTAGTTAGATACCGTAATCTCGTTAAACGTTTAGATAGATAAGATAACATCAGGAGGCTTTAACGGCATGAGACATCAATCAGGACGCCGTCTACCACACTATTAGCTTCCTTGATTCGTAAATACTACTTACTGGCGTTTGACTTGTATGTACACCAATATCGATTATCATTTTTTATCTCTTATGTTTACCAATGATTTTAGTCGTACGTTAGAATATAATGCGTGAAGATAATTTTAAAGTATCAATTATGTGTTATAATTTATTTATTTTCGAACATACTATAAAACACAGATATACAATAAATAACTTATGATAATGATTGTTTTGATTAATCAAAATATACATCAAACTGTGACCACTAAAACAGAAATTGTTGAGAGTCCGAAACACGCATCGTTTAAATGATATCTCAATTTGAAACATGTCCTTGAAACGATCAACGACTTTGAATTTATTTGTCGTAACCAAGACGTTTTATATGTATATAGGTAGGCATTATTATAGCCATCTACAAGTTTAACATTTTTAATGTTATTCATATGTCCGATATTGCTAATAATCGTTAATCAAATAGGTGTGTTAGCTAGATATTTTATGTAAATTTATTAAAGGAATACACAAGTGATTTTTACAAAGTGACGAACGTCGGAATTTGGTAGAGATGGGTTTATCCTAAAAGAACAGAATTTTGTACATAAGGTAGAAAAACTGTCTAAAACATATAATCAGATAAATTTAAACTAATATCGAGTTGACTTAACTGTGAATGCAATCGAACAAAAAAAAAGATTTTTATAAAACCACTTGTAAAATGTTTTTAGCAAATTTACACCAAACAATGATGGAAGCAGGGAAAGAGGACAACATAAAATAATAAAGATATAGAAAAATAAGAGAAACAAATTGAAATTAACGGAATAATCATGCCATTTACGCGTGATGAGTTCAAAAAATTGTAACATTTTTTTATATAAATAAAAAAAATTGTTACAAAACAAAATTTAGATCACTTCTCGGCCTTTTGACTAAGATCAAAGTGTAAACAAAAATTAGAGGAGTGAGAAAAAACACAGACTTTCTTACTTGATCTAAAGTTTGACAATTGCAATAGTTTGGATACAATAATACAGATTTTCATTCTTCACATTTCTGTCCAAACTATTAGAAAGACTTCAATATTTATGTAGATACTTACGAATGCAGTCTACATCTAACAAACACGCGAAGTAGTCACGCTTACACAATCACAATTTCACGGTCAAACAAAGTTTGATTCGTCTATTACATGGTAGTTTATTGCTGGTTAAAAACAAATAGGTTTAACACTTTGTAAATTTTAATTTTTTAATACATTGTAAACCGAATTAATATCAGATTATCAGATGTCAGACTTTAGATAGGTACCTAACAATAAACTAGATCAAAATTTATATTCACGAATAGGTATATGTTTGTCAGACTCAAACAATGTTAAAACAATTTATCACCCTTAAAGTTAAGTAGGTCTCGCGCATGAATAATGTAAGCATGTGAATTATAAGTCGTTAATAGACCGCTGTGAGTCATATACAATGTTTATTATCGATATACCACTGGACCATATAGGTCCTGTAGGTGTCGCACCTGGCAGTCGTGCTGGTCGTGATAGGAGCTGACCAATTGGCTGACGTACTCCCAGACTTCACCGGGCGCCGTCCAAGCCGCCGCCGCGTTCGCAGCGTGCCGCATCATGCCAACATCACCCGCAACAATTATATCTTCCACGGCACCAGTCTCAAGTTTTGATTCGCATGCGTCTCCTCGAAGCGCACTAGTTACGCGGGCGGTTAGTTCTCGGCGCTAACGTCCACTAACGTTGACGAGCTATTTATATTGTTTTATCCTCAATCACACCCAAGTAGGTCGCGATCTACATCACACACCACACTAAAACTGATTCCAGTGAACGAACTAAAACACCACAAACAAAATTTTGTTAATTTCTTGGAATCCAGATATTAATAATTCATTATACCGTATATTGGTATGTGATTTCTAGTTTCCCTAGTAGTTATTGCTGTCTCTGTTATTGCCAATTTTGGTACTCAGCGCTCTGTGGTAGTATGCGCAATAAAGAATATAAAAAGAAAATGTGTTACATAGCAATGATAGGTTGTATATGGAAAAAAGTAAATAACCAAATGACAACATTACATCTTCATTATAAATAATAATAATATAGAATGTTTCATAAATTAAAATTGAATACAATATAGATGGTAAATAGCTCCACTAAAAAGAAAGAAAATGTCGATTATTCTCCGGCTTGGATGGAATTCGTTAACACATGTTCCCGAAAATTAAAAAAACATATACCTTCCCTACTGAATACTTATAGTAAATTAGTAACCTCTGTTACTTGTTATTATCACTTCAACCTATCCATCATCTACAGCTGGTCACAAAGTAGGGCTTGGGCCACCTGTTGACGCTACTTCTTTCATAATATTTTCGTGATTTATCATTTCTAAGTTTTGAGTTTGCTTTAGTCTACAGTTAGTCTGTTTTTATATGTACATTAAAAGAACATTAAAGTATTCCTAAAAGTGAAAAAGATAATAATAGGTATCTAGACAAAAAATGAAAAAAAAGTTTTATATTATACTAAATCGATCAAGTGATTTATTACCCTGAATGGAACAAATTAAACTACGATCTGATGTAATCACCACAAGTGCAGAAAAATGAACAATTTGCAGTGATGCTCACAATCACAGAAACGTATCCATCCGCGACGCACGACCGCGAGTGATAACACGCGACCTTGGGCCGTACTAAACATTTGATAAGGGAAATTCGGCGGGAGCCCGGCCCGTCGTTGCGAGGTTCTCATCATCCGCTTATCGCTCACCGTGTTTGTTTTGCATGAAATTAGTGTCGTGGTCCACATTATAATGCGGTGACATGATCACGAATTAATGAACTGTTAGCAACTGATAAGAGATATTTAAGATTTACCTAAATATTATTAACGTTACACTATTCGAGTATCTACCTATATCTATGGCTTTTGTATTTTCGAACTCTTCATTACTTTTGATAATTACTAACTAATTAATATCCTGATTCCAAGGGAGACCTAATTTATAAATTGGAATTAACATTTCACATTATAATTTTAAAAACACAGTACAAGTTTAATTGACATTTCACGATAGCACACATATTCACAATAGCCGATCAATATCCGAGGATCTCGTATATACCAAAATGGGGTACTGCACTATTTACGTGAACGCGGGACCGCTTATGCGAAGAGCGGAACGCGCGCGCGCTTCACCGCGAGCCAGCTAATGACCGACGAGGCGCGTATTCGCGATCCCCACTCTACCACCGTACGCGCTATCAAACCAGTTTACATGAAAATTTTTAATTCCTCAGCTCGGGTGACGACCGGTCGCGCTTTCCACACGCGGCGCGGCCTCCCCCGAGCTCGAGGAAAAAGCGCAGCTCCCCCAGGGGCGCGCCGGAAGTGCACCGAAGCCGGCACGCGAACCAAGCGCACCCACCGCCTTAATTAAATGTTGCACGCTGCACACCTACCCCTCGCATCGCCGTCACACCACTGGCAACCTACCACCTTAGCGCCACGCAATTTACGCTACTGCTACAAATATGCGGTAAATATAGGATAAGCCGTAAACGGTATACTAAACCGATATCTGATGATATCGGGTAACAAATGTGAACCCGAGTCGAATTATGAGAAAAAATAATCTTACATAGAAAACACGGAATCACTTAATTTAGTTGAAAACCATTACCCTACATTTCTGAAACGTCAATTTTTGTTATTCCTTTAGGAGAAATTGTTCAGATACTATAAGAGTAGAATATTATTATTACATTTTGAAAAAGTGATTTTTTTTTTTGTGTAAAACAAGTATATCAGGCCACCGATTAATAGAAACAACATTTTATTTCAAACAGATATATATCAATCCGTGTCAGGCACTAGTCTACATAATGTATCCTTCATCCATCGCCGATAACAATAAACAGTTTATTCGGACATGAGTGAATGACCGCGCCACAGACACTGCTGATGTGAACATGGAATGATCTAAATACTAAGTCAGTCATAGACAACAAAAGATTGTTATGGTCTGTGAACAATATTATAACTTTTAGAAGCGTAGAATGAAATCATAAAAATAGCTTACATTACTTAATTACTCTATCATTCTAATAATGTTCAATAAAACTGAAAAGTGTAATACCTTCAAATATAAGCATAAAAAAGATAATTCATAAATAAATAAGTATTTGAAACAGGTTAAATGAAAATCTAATTCTAAAGATTTCTAAAAAACAGTAGATCTATGTAAGTCATTAGTAAAAATAGCTATCTGGGCCACGTGCTCTACGAAACGCAAACATTTTGCACCTTCTATGTAATATCTACTATAAACTAACATCAATAGATATACACTAATTGTTTAATGATCTACAAACTTTTATTACCTAAATTCAAAAATTTATATATTTATTTTGAAAACGATGTCGATGATGATAATGATATATACCTGATGTATAGTGCATAGAAAAAAAAAAATAGAAAAAAAAATTTAAAGGTTTCCCCTGTGGCAAATATTTCACTTTTACAAAGAAATTTCCATATTAGAAAAATATCAAGCCTTCTAGACAACGTAGTAATAGCTCCACTTATGGTAAAAGAGCCTTGCCTATGAGAAGGATGTATACTTAAAAGTAATACTTAGAAGAAAATTATGTAAAAATGTTTTAAATAATAAAAATGTTTTAAATAATAAAAAATAAATAATACTGCTGATTTGGGACTTATACCTCTACTTTTAGAAGTTTAGTTAGTAGTAAATAGTATCAATATCTTCATAACAATACGATGTTAATTATATTACAAATGCGCATTCAGATCTGCTTTCTCCGTTTCGCATAAATGACTAACAAAAGCAGTTGAGACGCAAAAGACAATCAATCATTCTAAATACCGAATAACAGAACAGTTATGACGCCCACAAACGATACCTATCTACTTTCATGTACGATCTCTCTCTAAATAAACAAAACGTGATTTCTTCTGGGTATTATACTAGCAAAATAACTTGAAACTATATAGTAACGATGCGATACATAAATGTTTATCGTCTGATAGGCCATCTGTATTCAATCAAGTATGAATATTTGTAAGATACATGTTCAAAATAATTGAACATATTAGAACCTAACAAATGAATATCGTATCTCTTGTGAAAACAAGTTGACAATATTACTATAAAACGTATGAAACATAAGTTAACTGACGCACAGACCAAGTACCTTCAAATCCAATAAACGAGTTAATCTTCAATTTATAATTCAACGCGGCTATTTAAGTACATGATACATCTGCGCATTGATACACCATATTTAATAAATTATAGAGAATTATTACTAAACAGAATGGTTACTGCTTATACATACGAAGGGTGTGTGGTAAACAAAATAAAGCGGCCTATTGAAAAGAACTGGATTATATTAGGTCGACAAAGATACAGGGGAAGGTGTTTTACATTATAATGGACAATACATTCCCTAAGTTGTTTGTTGTGCTGTTTATAGGGCTCACACTGTACATCGTTCGCGTTAAAGTGTTGGCTGAAAACATGAAAATAGGGATCAAATCACTAACAGAAGCATACGAACACATTTGGCCAATAAAATTGACTTTGCACAAATACCAAAGTCTACATGGTAATTGCTAAACCTTAGGTCCGGGGGAGAAGGGATTGTTAGTAATGCATATCAGTTCCATTGCTAATAATGTACCCTAACAGGACGACCTTCCCGTGGTCTCCCCTGGAAACCATCGTGCTGAATTCCAAGTGTATGCATAACGATGGGCTAACTGACCTGCCTTTTCATCCTCACCTGTCATCTATCACTGGTGCCCCGCCAGCGTATACCGTTAGCGCAAGCGGGGTTACCATTCCATTATCATCTATTAAAAAAAAAAAAACCTTAGGCCCAGACCAGATTCATCCATTTGTATCATCTTTCAATTATAATTAGATTTTTTTAATATAACTATTTTCATTGTATGACATTAAAATGGTAAGGTACATTGGTATTTAACTAATACTTCTCTATGTTGGACACATATTACATCCTACTATTTCATAAGGATGCAAGCCTGTGTATGTGGCTGTAAAAATTTTAATAAAAAAAATATATTGTGCTGAATACTTCTATCTATTCACCAAGCTAATATAAATAAACATGTCAATAACACACGATTATATTTTCATGAAGATTTCATACAAAAAAAAAATATAGTAACATCTATAAAGTTATAGAATACACTTATCTCCAATAATTATTTTTCCTATATAATCTGATCAGACAAGACTTTTTGAAGCAGTCCTTTATTTTTTGCAATGCAAGGATCACAAATTCTTACGGCACTGAATATTTTGCTTAATCTTATTTTAAATTTTGCATTTAAACGACAAATATAAACACAATTCAGTCAAGTTATTAAAATATAGTAAAATTTAATGAGTACTTCATAAAATATAAACTATTTAATGTATCTTATATAATTTTAAAATGTATTTTTAGGAACGTGAAGGAATCAAACATTTTGAACATATTGTGAATGTACCTATATATTCACATGACACATCTGCTCGTATTGTTCCCATATGTGAGTACATGCAGTGAGACATCGGAGTATTTCGTGGGTAAATTAAGTCGGGAAAGAATAATATGTTTCCGAAGTAGAATCGCAAAGTTTAATGAAAAGTAACTGCCAGACAACAAATGGAATGTATCATCGTATTTCTCAATATTGTATATGAGTAGATAGAAATATAAATCGAATGTCGATCACCACTATATATAGACAAAGCCAACCACTAATCATATACGTTATCTATAAACAATAAATTTAATTTGAGGCTTTTAGTTATTATAATTTCTTCCAAATTAGCCTACATTCACTAAGGTTTATGGAAATTTATATGAGATAAACAGGGATTATTTTCTTTTCAGAGATTATTTAAAATTTGCCAAGGGCAACATGCTAGGCCAGGCGTAGTTGCCAGCAACGTACTGGCTTCACCCTTTATAGATATTGTATTTCGAACAAAATATCTTCTGATGACATGCTTGACAGAATGTGGAGATAGTTTACTTAAACAATGATGAATACCAAACTAATAAATTCAGTTTTGAATTCACTGAACAGATATTAATTATTCAATAGATGAATGTGATTTAAGAAAAATGCGTAGGTATAGTTTTTTTATAACAACTTAGATGATAACCATCACCTATAGAAATAATGGAATTGGACTAAGGTACATGATGAAGCAATTGAGGAATTAAAAATAATTTTATTTACGGAACCGTTTTACAATTTTATCATCCTAACAAACATTGTAAAGTATCTGTTGAAGCCTCAAAAGATGCATTAGGTGCGATTCTATTGCAAGACAATTTACCTGTAGCATGTTTCAAAAGCAATGAGTGATAATTTAGTAGTCAAATATATACTAGGAAAAAAATTACAATTAGCTGATTCCTTATCTAGAGATGTTACTAATATTAAAAATGATAACTTTAAAGAAGATTTGTATGAGTGTCAAGTTAGTATGATAAAATCTAATTTAAATATAACTGATTACAAATATAAGATATTCAACATTGAATCTAATAAAAATGCAGATTTACAAACATTGATAAATTACATAAATAATGGTTGACCTAATAAGATAAAAATAGAAAATAAATCAGGTACATTAAAACCCTATTATGATTACAAAGAACAATTATTTGTATATGATAGTCTAGTATTTAAAAATGACTGTTTGATAGTTCCTAAGTCATTGAGGTTAGATAGATTAAATAAAATTCATTACAGTCACTTAGTTATTGAAAAATGCAAATAAAGGGCTACAAAATGTTTATTTTAGCCTAATTTGTCTAAAGACATTGAAGAGAATGTTGGTGAATATGAGGCATGTGAAAGGATTAGGAAAAATAATTCAAAAGAACCTATGACAATTAAGGAAATGCCTACTAAACCATGGACTCATTTGTTATTTTTTTATGATAGTAAACCCTATATAGATTAATACAGTATTTTTTTTAAGTGAGTGAATTAAATAATTATATCAACATATCTTAACATTGAATTCTTTAAAAATATTTTTAGTCACTATGGAATACCAGAAATACTGTATACTGATAATGGTACTAACTATACCAATCAGCAGTTCAAAAAGTTTGTAAATGATTAGAATTTCATTCACAAAACAAGTAGTCCTTATCATCATCAATCTAATGAATTTTTTTTGATGGGATAAAATGGTATAATGATAGATGAGAATGAAAACAGGCTAGTTAGCCCATCATGATGAATTCGTCAGGAATTAAAAATGATAGTTTCCAGAGAGAACCGCGAGGAGGTTGACCTGGTTTTGTATAAGTAATTAACAATATATATATATATATATATATATATATA